TTATAATCATTGTAATGAAACAAGGTGTATGATTTGTTGAATGTAAAACTGATGATCTGTCCTGTAAACTTTCACTCAATCCACAACAAAAACCTTAAAAAAAACCCCAAAAAACTCATGAAAAATTAACTACTTCAAAATTTCAACTTTAATTTTTTTTTCAAAGTTTACTACTTTTATTATCAAAGGACAAATATGTTTTCCCTTTAAATGAGATGTGCAATTAAGGGAAAACACAATTCAGAATTATAACCATCAGATATATGGAAACTAGTAATTCTATAAATACAAACACCATAGTTATTGCAATAATATACCTCTTCACCTAGTAACTCAGAAGTTCTTACCCCTGTATCTGTCCAGTCTACACCCAGAACTTTGTCTTCATGAGCAGCCAGATCATAGAGAGGAGCTTTACAGCTAAAATGGAAAACATTAACATCTTATTTACACTTCACAGTATTGAAACAACCAAACATATAGAGAGTAGATAATCACTTGTACCTTTCTGAAAACTTTACAGGGTATACAGATCCTTGCTCTAAGAACCACTTATCTTAAAAATCTGAGCATTTAATTGAGCACCTGTTCTGTTTTTCCAATATAATTTGCAGATTACAATGATTTGGTGCAACAAAATATATTCAGGAAAATGTCATTTATAAAAAAATGTATTTATTTAAAATCAGGTCCATTTCCACGACTACCTTTCTTTTATACCCAAATCATGACCTTTTGTCTCCATCTATCTGCTAGCAATACTCAAGTTTCTATCTTCAATCCAAACTTTTCTCTTGTGCTTGATACCTATATCCAGTTGCCTAAGTAGATGCCTTACGTTGTTGTTAAAGTGTAGTAGAGTAGATTCAAACTCATAGTGACCCTGTATAGGGTTTTTGAGAGCAGCTGGTGGGTGTGAACAAACAAACCAGTGCTTATCCTATAGCACCACACCAGAACCCAGATGCTTTATGTTATTTAGTGCCTTCAAATTGGTTTCACCTCACAGCAAGGTTTCCAAGATATGGCTAGTGGGTTCAAGCCACCAATCTTTTGGTTTGGTTAGCAGTCCAGTGTTGTCTACAGCACCAAGACATTACAAAATTAAAAACCCAAACAAAACTTAATTTTCCCTCCCACACCTGCTTTCTACTCAGGTAGCAAACATGGGCATTATCCTTGCTTCCTATCTCTATGTTCAATACACAAGTCAGTCTTACCAAAAAGTGATTATCAAAATATACCTAGAATCATCTGTAGTGCTACCACCACATTCCAAGTCTCCATTATCTGTCTCTGAGTTATAACAGTCTGCCTGCTTCCATTCCTGCTACTCTGCTCAAAACTCTCCAAAGCCTTTCTATCACACTTAGAATGAAACTCAAACGCTGTCCCATGGCCTATAAGATAAAACTGACATATGTCAGAACTACACCCAGCCTGTCCCACCACTTCTCTTCGATTTCTTCTTTCTAGTAACACTGGCCTTCTTGCTATTTTTCCAAAATGCCAAGATTCTTCTGAGTATTATCTGTTGTTTCCTTTGTTGTGGAAACACAATACATATGCTGTTTCCTTTGCATGGCTTATACCTTCACATAATTCACTACTGAAATACTACTTTCTCAGAGAGCCTTTCCAAGTGTCATCTCCCTTCACTCTGCTTTACTTTCTTCATAGCATTTATTACTATCAAAACTCATCCCTGCCATCAAGCCAACTGTGACTGTCCCTACAAGGCAGAATAGAACTGTTTCTTAGCATTTCCAAGACTGTAAATCTTTATGGGAGCAGACAGCCTCATCTTTCTCCTACTGAGTGGCTGGTGGGTTTGAACCTCTGACCTTATAGTTAGCAGCTCAATGCTTATCCCACAGCAGCACCATGGGTCTTTATTACTATCAAACTATATGCTAAGTGCTATCTAAGTATCCAATTAAAATGTATATACCTCTAGATGTTAACAAATCATATATGATAAAATAATGTATATATGTTATAAAGCAAATTTACGGTAAAACAACAATAAAGACAAGTATGTGGTTAATGCCTCACTGTTCTACTTGTAAGCAGATGCAAAAGAATTGTGCATGCATTTAAGAAATTCTAAACATATATTAACATAGAAATAACCCACAACTGATTCCACGGCACTTAACAACAACCAAGAAGAAATAAAGAAACCTTTAATATCTGATTATCCTGAAACACCTGTATTTTTATTTAATTTTCTATCAAATGATATATTTGTTTATAATCCAGTCACAGTTCCATTTATTCAGGGACCACTGTCCTTCTTCTAAATTATTCATTATATTTGTATTAAAGCTCAGGATATTATCCATAAACTATTTTTCCATCAGTCTTATAACATCAATTTCAATGTAAGAAATGTGAGTTTTATAAACTTTTTATTTATGACATCAGGTATTATTATGGATAACTCTTTTTTACCCTTCTGTCTTTGATTAATCATTTCACTATTTTCTTCACTTTTTTCTGTAAACAACTGGCTATCAGAGTATCTCTTTTATATATCATAAATAGAAGTTACCTTCTTGTATCCCACAGTTTGACAAAGTTATCTAAAGAACCTGAGATTAGTTGTTGTTCATGAGTAGGAGACCACTTTACTGATGTGACCCAGCCAGTGTGTGATGTTAGGGACAGTGACACCAAAGATCCATCTGAGCAAAGCAAAAAGATAATAATTGTCAAATTGCAGAAAAGAAAAGTAATGGAACAAGCCTAAGAAATATTTCTGTAAAGTTAAATGTTTATACATATCTGTAGTAAGAAGATAAATCATTATTATTCACACACACACATCATCCCCCATTCACACTCACCTTTAGTTCGGGGATCCCACAGTCTGATATGCCTATCTGTGCTCCCAGACGCTAAACGTTTACAAAGTGATGAGTAGGAGATACAATTAAAAACCTTATTTCCAGTCTGAAAAAAAAGAGAAGGAAAGGACACTGACCCATGCACGGTAGGCTAAAAGTAACCATTCTAGAAGTTCATCACTCAAAAGATATAAGTCCACTGGAGAAACACTGAATTTATAAATCTTACCAAAGTTGACTTAAGACTGCCAGTTTCAACATCCCACACTTTAATTGTGTGGTCCCAAGATGCACTGCAAACTTCTTCAGCATCTGACCATAGAACTGAAGAAATTGCTTCTTTATGGCCAGAGAGGGTCACCATGGGAGTCTAGAAATAACAGATCCCAAAAAAGGGAAAGTATTTTCATTTTACAGTAATAGAACCAGTAATATTACTTCTAAAGTTCATGCTAGTTTGCCAGACACTTCAGCTTTCACACACTGACATATTTCTTCTTTACAACAAACTTCCAACATGGATGTTTATTTTCATTTTATAAAGGAAGACACTAAAAGTGAAAAGATAACATGCCCAAGGTCACACAATTTATAAGTATCAAGACTCAAGTTTGAACTCATATTATTACAAAGTTTGTTGTCTTTTCACTATATTTGTTGCATCCTTGTATATTTTCATTTGATAGCAGTATTAATATAAACACTAAATTCTCAGAGGGGCAGCAACAGCAGAACCAAGAACCAGAGCATGAAACAGAGCTTCAGCTTCCTAACCCACAGAGCAAGAAAAGCTGAGTGTGTTTAGGAAAGAGGCTAGTTTGTGGAATGGAGTGCTTCCAGGCACTTAATTGGGAGAACCTAGGATTGCTGGCCCATGGAGCTCGAGCCAAGTGCCATCAGGCTGCGACTTATGGTGGAATGGTGTATCCTGCTGGCATTTATCAACAGCCTAAAAGAACTTTGTAGCATTAGCTGGGCACAGAAAGACCTGTTTGTAGGCAGAGCTGAAGAGAGGTTATCTTGACTGGAACAACAACTGTTCCCTGAACATATCTGACCCTGAATGTCTATTAAAGCCCTAATAAACCCCCTAACCGTTAGTATGGTATCTGTCGAATAGATGAGTTCTGTGTGGTCAATGCAATGAATTATCGAATCCATCTGAGAAGAGAGTGCTGTGGGAGAGATGGTGTGGTGCTCATTTTTTGCAACTATTTATTATACAACTACTATTATAACTTTGTATATTTAAACCTCCTTAAATATTATCTCATCTGTATTATGAGATTATATATACTAAATCAGGAATCAGAAGATTCTTTAAGGAGCCAGAGATAAATGTTTTAGACTTTGAAGGATACATAAAACAATCTCTGTTATATATTCTTTTTGGTTTATTTGTTTGTATTAACAATCCCTTAAAAATGTACAAACAAACCTTACGGTATATAAAGTAAGACACAAATGACAGATAAATTGTCAGGTATGGAAAGGAAATGTTGAGAAAATACAACTTTATGGTAATAGTCTTATCCTTTTGGTCTTAAAAATCCCAATTTTTCTGTTATTTGCTAATTAGAGCAAAAGTTTCACTGCAACTGGCAATTCAAGGTTGCCAAGCATCAAGATATTAGATAAAAACAAAAAATTAATCCCACTGCTATGGAGTCAATTCCAACTCATAGCAATCCTATATAGGATTCCCAAGGCATAAATCTTCACAAGAGCAGACAGCCTCATCTTTTTCCCATGAAGTGGCAGATGGATTTGAGCAGTTAGAAACCCAGTGCCAACCCACAGCACCACCAGAGGTCAACTATAAAAGCTAAATAATAACCTACCAGTATGTAAAGCCTGGCTCAATGATACTCTATTCAGAGACTAAGAAAATTTACAATACAGTGTTTATAATTGAAAACTATAAGCATAACTATGTTTTCTTTTAGTAGGTTTGTAAAGCAACAAGGCAAAGCAAAAAGAAACATAATTTACCATATATTTGTCAATACTGACCAAGGTCAAGTATATTCTTACCCTTGTTAGTCCCAACTGCTCTGTTTTCTGTTTCTTTCTGGGTCGGTTTATGGATTCCTCCATTTCGTCTTCTTCATCTGTAGGGACTGCATCACAGGGAATTAGATTTACCATTCACTTAATGTACAGTCAATATTAATAGTAAACAATCTCAAAAAATTCTGTACATTTCTGGGTATATAATTTCTGCATGTTATCTGAACTAGTTAGGAAATGGATTTGTTGTTGTTAAGTGCTGTTGAATCAGTTCCAACCCATAGCAACCCTGCACAGGGTTTCTGATTAGTGGCTGATGAGCTTAAACTGCTGACTTTGTGGTTCAAACGGAGTTTATAGTCTAGCACATTAACCCACAGTGCCACACCAGGACTCCAGGGAATGGATAGTCCTCATTGTTTTAGTTAATAGAAAATTATACGTAGAAAAACAGTACCTGGATTACCATTCTTCCAAAAATTAGGAAAAAAATAAAGTACATTAAAAAGTAATACTCAGCCAGTAAAAAATCTTGCTATGTCTTTAAGATTATTGTAAATATTTATTATTTTACATTAATCTTGCAAAATTGTCTATTATTAGTCCCAGGAGAGTTCGGACAAATTATTTCCATTATAAAGGTGAAATGACAGATGTATAAACACATTAACAGTAGATATATTTTAGTCATATTTATTCTCTTTCACCAATAAATAATACAAGTATGAATTGAAAAGTATCCACACTCCAGTTATATTAAAACATCTGTTCATGTCCAAAGCTGATGACAAGATTGAGCATGCACGTGAAATGATTCTGTCGAATACACAAGTGACAGTGGATTATGTGACAAATCATTTTCAAATCGGCCACAGCTCTGCCTATGAAATAATCCAGGACATACTTGGGTTTTGAAAAGTTAGTGCAAGATGCGTACCAAAATATCTCACAGAACAGCATAAGCAGATTTGGACGTCTACAAAGAAAATTTGAACTGATACTAGAAGGAAAGTAAAAGTGTCTTTAAAACAATCATTACCAGAGACTAGACATGGATTCATCACTACAAGCATGAGAGTAAACAGCAGAGTATGGAATGTAAATATCCTTAATTGTCAACCAAGAAAAAGTGCAAAAGTCAACCAACAGCTGGAAAATTGATGCTTACAGCTTTCTGGGATTCTCAAGGGCCAGTATTGGAACACTACCAGGAAAAGGGCTCAACAATCAACAGTGCTCATTACAGTGAGATGCTCAATGAAGAGCCAAAGCCTAAACTTCAGATTAAACACAAAGGACTGTTATCCAAGGGCTTTGTGACACTGCATGTCAATGTACATCCGCACACCTCTGCCAACAATGTTGACACGCTGCAAAAACTTCATTTTGAGGTGTTAAAGCATCTCCGTATAGTCCTGATCTTGTTCCATTGGATTTTCATCAGCCCTTCAAGGACTAAATTTCACCTCTAATGAAGAAGTGAAGACAGTGGTGCATTCGTGGCTCGCAGCTCAGCCTAAAACATTTTTTAATAAAGGAATATGAAAATTTGTTGACAGTTGGGCAAAGTGTATTACAAAGCAAGGGAATTAGACCAAAAAATGATGCATCTGTCTTTTCTAAAAATTGATTAAAATAAATTCTTTAACCAGGGTGTGGATCATTCTTAACTCGCCCTCATACATTTCC